CCCTGGCGGTGAGTGCGTACTGCCAATGATTCCCAAACTAGGATAAAACAGCTGTCCGGCAGTCCCTGGTGGTTTTCAATGGTTCTCTAACTGATATCAATCCGTGATCAACTCGTAAAAATAATAAGGTAAGTAATATTGAATTTATGGGTAAAGTGTTAGGTTAATAGGGATAATCAATCAATTTTTTTCAGTAATAGGTTATGAGCTCGGATTATTGTGCTAGTGTTGACGATACAACTCAGAAGTTCAAACCGAAGAGGCTAGAGACGGAGTTCGAAACTGGGGTCCACTGGCTGAAAGACAAATGCTTACACCTATGGTACACATCTCCACGAGCTAATCACCAGATAAATGAGAGTGTAATTACTCATGAATTCTGATTCTATCAACTCATCGCATGCAACCAATGCCACCTAAATATCTTTACACTGGGGACACCTTGAAGTGACAGACACAACCTCGACGGGATCCAAATGGTAAGCGACAAGTTGTGTGTGAGTCTAAGAGTGAAATGAAGAAGACCATATGAGGAGGAGGTGAAGATTTGTGAGTATTCGTTGAGTCAACTGCAAGTAATGACAGGGAATTGAGTGTAATGGAGATACGAGTCACTGTTATGCAGACCTAAGTTTTCTAAAACACTACATTTATCTTTACAGTAAAGTGCTGTTTGTATACCTCCCACCTATAACCTTGAAATCCTATTGATCGTCGATTGTTTTAACTCATCAATGTAATTAGTGTCTATAGAGGCCATTTAAAGCATCCTATATATATATATATATATATATATATATATATATATATATATATATATATAAATGCAGTTGATGTCAACCCTTTTCGGTGTTGATTTGAGACAGTAAAAGCTCTCTACGTCAACAGCCTGTCTTCATGGGTCGCGGGTTCGGTGGCATCGAATCGTACAGTTGTTATCGCTAATAGTGATTAGAACAGTAGACTCGCAAACTACTAACTACATTAACAGACATATCAAACACTCAGGTATTATGTTCCGATCGGAACGCCAGGAATGTATAATAATAATGATGACAGAATATCTTTGCACTAAACATAATGAACTTCAGCAGTCATTTACTAGACTCTAAATTAGACACTGATTAGCAAGGGAGAAATATTTGAATGTTAGATTTATGAGTATTTTATCTACATCAAGATGGAATGAATCATGGACCTTATTAATAGAGTAGACTACACTGGACTTAATCTTCCACCGAATAATGAATATACGCTGTCTAGAAAATCACAAACTACAACGAAGCATCTATCTACTATATTGTGATTTATAATACTTTTTATGTCATTGATGAAATCTACAAATAATGAGCAGGCGAAATCATGTAAACGTTTAAAATACAAATAAATTCCATCGATTTTCATGTTTGCTGTTCCATGAGGGGAGCATAAAAGTGATTATTCGATGTAAGTTCTTCAAAACTACTTGTGCCAGTGGTAAGTAGTATGCGGTGTACAGCATTTGAAGCAGTTTATCAGTGTTTTAGATAATAATTGCGTAGCATTTTTCTCATTGTCTATGCTTTAAACTCTTCCACTAAAAACATACACATAAGTGTCTAATTAAACGGATAAATGACAATTATTTTAGATCGTCATAGAGAAATGAGCACTTCAATGTCTTCAAGAGAGTTTGTTGATGACACATTGTGATGTTAGACAATATTGCAGCTGGATATATACACCAGACGTAATGAGATTAACTAGCTGAGGTAGAGAGAAGGGTATCAGTGAAAAACTGACTAACTGGTTCTCCACATAGGATTTCCCACAGAAGTGCAGCAGTTCGAGTAGCCACACTACCTCGTTGTAATACACAAAGCAGAGAATAAAGTAAAGAGGGATTCGAAAGAGAGGCAACAAACAAACGTGTGAGGCAAAAAGAATAGTAATATCGAAGAACAAAAGGATTTTATTGGATATTATAAATCACAAAAAGTGAATACATCTGCACCAGCCATTGAGAACGAGGATTTTGAACCATATCACGGATTGTCTCCAGCTGTCATTGGTTCTTACCATTCCGAAGATCCCCAACCAGGAAGCAACTCTATACCTCCCTACGTGACTGGATGGCTTAAACTAACTGTTATGGATCCCACTGACTCATGAAGCCATATTTTGGCTTGACCACCGCGAACCTGACTAATCCTATGTCAGTTGGTGAGAAAAAAGTAAGCTAAGCTCGTAAGATGAATGTTGAGCGTAGTTTTTCGTGTTCAGAAACAACTACACTATTGTGGATTATTAAGTGTGTAGTAAAACCCATTAACAATTCGATATTCGACCACTTGATTCAAACAGGCAATACAACTAGTACTGAACAATTTTTTCTATCATCTGTAGAATACTCTGGATGGCAGGGGAAATTGCAATTTTCAGGTATTGGTTTTGTAGGAATTTTTGTTTGATTGCATGGACGATTTCATCATGCGCTGACATCAGTTAGAGAACCACTGGAACCACAGCATTCCCAGGTTGATGTCAGTTCATGATGAAATCCTCCATGAAATTGCAATTCTCTCAAAAAGCACAAGCTAAATCAACTCCAGTTACTATTGCTACCCTAGACTGCTGTGGAATCTGTAAATCCATAAATTCCCTATGCTTTTTCTTAATTTACCTAATATTTGGTTTAATATTACATTTTTATGCGCATATTATCACTCATAGGTTCTTTCGAACTGTAATGTATTGGTATTACTTATTCAATGTTATTAAATTATTAATTCTCATTGAGACATAAAAACAAAGAATTCAGAGAAGAAAATTCTCTTTTCGACAACTTTATTTTCATAGCTGTATCTGTCCACTGGTGCACCTCAATGTCAAGGAAATGCTACCTCGATTGTCTAAATCCATGTGTATTTATATGTTCACCTGCTCTTGCTGAGCTAGGTACATAGAACGTTCGTCGAGAGACATATCCCACCGCTGCCGTTTATTATAGTCTACAAAGTCCAATAAAGTTTTCCGAAAGGCACACGAGTGCATTCACTTTGTATGGCAGACGCTTCGGCAATACATAACATAAAGCCAGAACTTTGTGTACCAAAACAAACTGTACAATCTCTTTCATTACCATGGTCTTGATTTTACTATGTAATTCACTCAAAAAACTTTGTTACCCTTCTTGATTCCATTTTCCATTTTTGTTTTATTTTATTTCATTTTATGTTATCATATTTGAACATTTTATCTAGTCTACTACCTTGACAACATTTCACTCATCCTATGTTTCTATCATATTACATTCACATATTCACATTTCTGAATGTACTTTATTTTCTGATCATCTATTTAACAGATGTCCATTGAACTTTAAGTTGACCTCTGTTTATTTAATTATTTATTCATATAGCTAATCAATTGTGACTCATGATCCTATACTCTCAAACTTTAACACACACACACACACACACACACAAACTGATTGTTATTGTCTATCGTAATTCAATGTATATATACGACTGTACAGCTATGGAAACGAAATCGTCGACAAGAGAATTTCCTTCCCTGAATTCTTGTTTTAAATGTTATTATCAACAATAATTTTTTAGTATGAATGTAGACTTTTGATCACAAATCAATATAAAGTTGGGGAGATCATTGAAAACTAGAAAGCATGGACATCTATTCCTTCCTATTTTGGAACTTCTCAGTGGATACTGATCGAAGGTATTGATGACAATTGGGTTATATAACGAGTAAATAAATTTAGAATTGATGGGTAATTTTGAATTCCAGCCCAAGTGATTGAATGTTCAAGGTGCTTGCTCTGGTGGCCTAAAGGTCCCAGGTTTAGTCACTGGTAGGGTGATCGGTGTGTACTACCGAAGAGTCCCAGCATAGGACGAAACAGCTCTAGTTTTCAATGTTCTCTTTAAAATGATGTTGATTTCCACGTCTCTACGTCTTCTTTGTTCACTAGCCATAGTCTTTTAAGATCCTTAATAGGCGTCTTTTATCAATGCAGAAGAAGAAGAAGAACGTATCTAAACGAATAGTACAGAGAACACAAAAGCCAGTAGCTTGATGCTCATTTTGTCCTATTTTGCACTCGTCGACTGGATATACAGAAATGGAGCATTTCAGTCCAATAATCAATCCATAGTGAATTCGAAACACCGTCAACATACAACATAAGGAATCACTCAACGATACAGAGTTGGGAATATTTTATGAGCAATGAACGAGTTCAACAGGCTTGTATGTCGGTGTATGTCCACCAGACATGCTTGTGGTCGAGGGTTTGAATCACAGCCAATGCCCTCCTAACTCTTGTTTAGCTGGTAGTAAGCCCTTTAAAATGGGAAGATTGGCCACGAGCTTAGCAATCCCACTCCACAAAAAAAGCCACCACTAATGAAACATCAGAAGCTTGAAGTCTTATGTTCCACTCGGAAGTCAAGAAATGAGAAGAAGCAATTCATTATCTAACCTAGCCCGGTGACATATACACAGTGGTATAGGATATACAATTATTGATCCCTAAGATTATTATCTCCTCTCATTAATACTATGCACTACTGATTAATATGATTATAGTAGTAGTATTAGTGCTCGCTAGCCATGTAGTAATAATTTTCGCAACGCACGACCATTTCCCTTCGTTTGGAGGCACGTTCATCAAGGGTGTACCTTGTAGGACTTAGTTCAGATGGTCGAATTCATTCAAATCATCCGAATTCTCTCGCTTGTTCTTAGAAAATTACCATTTAGGGTGTCACTCAGATTACTTATATATATACATATGGTCTGAATATTTCACTAGCTTCAGGGGAGAGCCGAAGTGAGTACTTGTTCTGCATTGTGTAACTTACCAATGAAAAATCCGACTTTAACCTTAATAAAACAAATTCAAGTGAATTTCACAAGGATATTTGTTAACATTCATACGAAGGAAGGATACTAAATAAGAGACAAAGTATATTTAAACAGCATCAAAGAAAGGTACTTACTTCACCAAGTCGTAAAACATCAATTGGAACAGGTGATTCAGGATAAATATTCTCTAAATACCAGCGGAAACTTTTACAATCCAGTCGTCGGCGAAGTTCTTTGCGTTCAGTAATATTTCCAAAATCAACTGCCAAGGCAGCTATAAATTGCATTAATAACAACAATAATAATAGTAATAAATACAAACTTAAGTAACAGACTGTCATCGAATATTCATTAAAAATATTAGTGCATAAGATTAAAGCTGGAAATAGAGTAGAAATCGTCAAGGACTCAGTTATACCTGGAAGAAAGTTTTCATGCACTTACTGCTGCTATTATTATGCCTTTTGGTTCCGAGTGGAGTATATGGCTTCAACAATACATCTTCGCCTAGTCCGATTCTCCACAATCTTCTTCAGTTGACTACCCGATTATCAATACGCTCTCATTTCCTCATCGCACGGTCTCACAGCTGAGTAGTGTTAACGTAGTTTCCAAGCTACTTCACAGTCAACACTGTCTAAAGCCTTTTCAAAGTAGATGGAATTGAGGCGGAGATGCTTTAAGCGATGTATATTGTAATGCACTGGTATCCAATGGTAAAGTGTGAACCAACCACGCACATGATCCCAGTTGGATTTCCGACCAATTCACTCCTAACCCACGCTTAACGGACAGTAAGCCAGGTAAAGAGGAAAGGTTGACAGTCACACTAGTAATCCTGCCCCATAAAACAAAACACAAAATAACGAACGCCACTAATATAACTTCAAAGTTAAAGCGGATTTAAACCCAGGACCTAGTTCGCTGAAAGCTGAGTCCTTAAGGCAATGAGCCACATCTCTTCAATCTCGAAATAAGACAATATAACAAAAAAACAACAACAACTGATTGTCCAAAAAGCAAAATTATCGTGCAACTATAACTGCCTTTAGAACCTTAAACAAAAAATAACAACACAATAAGAATCGCTTTTTCAGAATATATAACACAGATGAATTCATTTTATTATTTCATAAGGTTTTTGTTTATTTTCGTCAGCTGTTGTAGGTAATAAACAATTCACTAAATTATCATTGCTGTGAAATATAATTTATTTATTCAGGTTGTACACACAGCTGAAGAATGAATATATAAATAAATGGAATGAATTGACCTCAAACATGAGAAAAATAAAGGTTTATTTTAGTTGAGTTATTCGACAAATAATTGACAAAACAGGAGATATTTGAATTTCATTTGAATAAAATTACTTAAACTTTACACAGATGACGCATCACCGTCGAACAGAGCTTAGAATGTTAGTCAGCTATCTACTCCAACTTCGAGGACTTTGAAAAGGCCTTCTATAGGATCGACTGTGAGGTAATTTGGAAAATGACTCAACACTACAGAGTGCAGTACTGCAAGAATGTATAAAGCCCAGTCAATAGAGCCAAATACAAAGTAATTCATAAAGAAAAGCTCAGTTAGGCGTTTGAAGTGAAAACAGAAGTAAGGTAAGGGTGCATACTGTCACCGATGGTATATCTGATTGTAATGGACTTGATCATGCAACAGATTATGCGAGCGAGAAGACACTAGAAGATCTGAATTTCTCAGATGATTTATGTCTAGTGTCGTAAAAAAACTCGAAGACCTATAGGCGGAAGCCAACAAGTTGGCAGAAGAGGAGGACAGCGATGACAGGAGTTCAAGTGAATATAGAGGGGATAGAGGTGATGAAGATATTTGACAGTAAACACCGATCACCATTCATGGGAAAAGCCGAAAGGAAGTTTTCTCCTTCACTTACCAAGTTGACATCTTTTCGTATGAGAATTAATTGACTATTTATGTGAAAAGCAAAAGAAAGTGTGTAGGGAGTTGTTAAGTGATAGAAGAGAAGCAGATGCACTGGGGAATGACTGCTGAGGTCCTGTGGTGCAATCGGAGCTCATTGAATAAATAACGATAATAATACAATCTAATAACTAGCATATTCTAACAGTGCATTATAATCTAATTAAATCGAATTCGTTATTATAATAGTAGACGAAAATTCGAAATAGGTACAAAATAAACTCTCATTAGATTGGTAACAGGATTTCATCATGAATTGACATTGGTTACAGAACCATTTGAAAACCTGGGAGTACTGGACAGCTGTTCCGTCCTAGTTTGGGACTCTTCATCAGTAGGCGCCCACCGCCACTGTTCGAACCCAGGACCTTCAGGTTACAAGGCGAGCTCGTATACCATTAAGCCACTGAGATCCGATCCAATGGCCCATGAATTCTAACTTCTGCCAATTCACGATATAGCGCAACCGCTAGCCAATATCTTAGGCGAGTATTTGTCCTCACACCCGACCTGCTGCACCCTACTGGTCACGACCTCCCACTGGAAGATTAGATTGATTGAATTTCACCAGTGATTATATATTGATGTAAACAGATTGCCCTTTTGGTGTGTGCTACCGATAACACTTATCAGTATTATATAAAGAGACATTTATCGGCATAAAAGCATTAAACAGCAGAGAGATAGATTTGACGTCAATGACAAGACACGAACCAGCGTTGCAGCAATAGATGCGAAACACAAAAACAAGACAAAGAAACACAATACCAAAGGGCAGAAGTAACACAACACGGAAGATCTGTGTGAGTGACGATTTAAAAGATAAGGTGTAAATAATTTCGCTGTAAAGAGATACCAAATATCAAATCTCTCGTCGTCCAACGTTGCACCTTAAACGAAGAGAGAATGAGAAATTATGTCGTGATGTAATTACTACAAGTAGCCTCCGAACTAACTTCTCAATATTCTCCAAGAAGTGTTACAAGACTCAATTGCCAAACGAGTCTTCGTATCGCTAAAGTTAGCTAGGGATCTACCCAGCTTTGATGTGTGAATGGGTGTTTTTTTATTCCTTCACGTCCGCAGTGGAATATAGGGCTTGAATTCTCTGTAGCAGTGGTGCTTATTTTTACAGGATGGGGTTGCTAGCCTCATGCCCAACCTCCCCTCTTTACCAGTCTTATTACTGGCTTAGCGAGGTCTAGGAGTGCATCGGCCGGGGATCAAACCCCGGACCATGTGCATGGTCGGCGAGCGCCCTAACCACTGTGCCAACGATGCACCAATGAGTGTTACATGTTTGTAAGTTTAAAATTACCCCACAACTAACTGTACTGAATCAGAAAAATGACTGATTAACTAGGCTCCGACATAGAAATTTGCATTGAAGTGTACAGGTTCAACTTCCCTTAATTTAATGTAGAACACAAAAGTAGACAAAAGAGATTCAAAAGAGGAAGAAGAATAAGGAGAAACATGATGGAGAAAGAATAGTAAAATAGAACACTGTTAGGGTTGAATGGATCTGAGATTACAAAAAGTGAATGCATCTGAGCTGTTGACAACCACCAATAATTTCTAAGCAGTGATTCTTAGAATCTCGAAACTCCTGTCAGAGAAGTCTACACCCTACCGAACAACATGACCAGTTTAAAGCAGAAATTCTCAATGTATTCATGGATTAATTCCAGGTTTTGGTTTGACCACCCAATAACTCATTTCCAACTTAATCTTGTATCAGTTAACAACATTGAGCTTTAAGGAAGACGATGGCTCATTGGAGCAAGTTATCAATAGTCATAGAGACTGGAACTTTTCAGTCTGTCAAATTTGGAACGTATTTACAAGCTAACCATAGGTAGAAGGTAAACACTTATCTAACAGTAAAATAGGAATGCATCTAAAGATATGACGATAAGACTGCTAAAAAAATTATAAACACCGATGAATAATCATTTGCCAGTTAATCCAGATAGCAGCATAAGGAAGGAAGGAAGGAAAGAAGAAAATAACATCATGTATAGTTCAAGGTTGAAAATTTATATCTACCGAATGATTCACACCAAAAGAAAAATGACATGAACGTATCAGAAAGGTAGAAATGAGAGAAAAAGAAACATCTCATTATTACCAACAATTAATAAATTCAGTTGTTGGCTTGCATGGATTTGATTGGTTTCATCATGAACTGAATTTGGTTAGAGGACCATTGGAAAACCTGCAAGAAGTAATGGACAGCTGTTTAGTCCTAGTTTGGGACTCTTGATCAGTACGCTTCCACTGAGATTCGAACCCAGGACCTACTGATTACAAGGTGAGCTCGTAGACCATTAGGCCACTGCCACCCAGTCCAATGGTCAGTGAATTTCAACTTCTGCCAATTCATGGTATGGCGTGACCACTAGCGAATGTCATAGGCGCATATTTGTCCTCAGACCATTTCCTTTAACCTATTTGTTGGCCAATAGGTTCTTGATTAGTTCATTGTAGAGTTCCTTGTTACTTTTCCTTTATTGCCGGTTATCGGATCTACAGTATCGACTGAAGACAACTGTTGTGACGAAAATCTGTAGTAGTTTGTTGAAAATGCTTTTGCAATTCGCCAACTCTCTGAACCATATAGAAACACTAACTGATTCGTCATAAGTACTAGGGTACGCTTTCATCAATCTGAAATCAGTCTAGAGATCTAATGCATTCAGTATAAAGAACAAACATCGGACTTTCAGCACCAACGTTAAGCCAGGCTATCATTTCTTCTACATGGGTCATAAACTTGGTACACGCGCATCACAAAGAGCATTTCTAATAGACCATTGAAGACTTTTAACAACAGCTGCATTCGCTAGCTGTATATTACAGATCAGATAATCAGTCAGAAGGGACCGGCAACATGAAACTCTGGGAACGAACCAATTAGGAACCTATTGGCCGACAAAAATTCTGAAGAGAATGAATATAGACTGGACACATGCTGAGGAGGCCATCAAATGAGATCACGTGCCAGGCCTCCGAGTGGAACTCAAATGGAAAGCAATGAGTTGGGCAGTGGCTTGAGGGTGATATCGTGTGAGGAAGAGATGAGAGCTTATAGGCAGTCGTGGAGCCAGCTAAAGAGAACTGCCGAGAAAAGAGTCGAATGGAGATATGCTGTTATAGCCCTATTATCCACCCGGAACCCAAAGGAATAGAAATTATTTTTATTATAGCTTGATTCCATATAGTATTTTGGTACAACTATGAATTTTCAGCATGTGATATTGTTATGTACTGGTCGAGAATTTAATAATCCTGACGCAAGAAAGACGGAAATCA